TTCCCCAGCAGCTCCCAGAAGCCGAAGGGCCGAGACCACCGAAGCAAAATCCCTAGCGGACCATGCGCCCCCAACTGACTTCGCAATATCCTGAAGTTGTTTTATGGGCGTCTTCCCTAATGGCATCATGAACCTGCTGCACCTGTGGCACCATAACCCAATACTGAAGCGACGCAATACGAAAAGCGATCGCCCGTGCCATGCACGGCAGACGATGCATCGAGGAGGCTCGGCGCTCCCCTGCCCACGTGGGCTCAGGCAGCCCTGGCAGAAACATAAGGAACGACGCAGCTGCGAAGCCGGCGTTCGCTACTCTCTTATGATTGCATGTCTTTTGGCAGCGCACCCTCCACCTTGCCGGCAAAGACGCACGCACGACTTCAGCAACCTGCCTGCGTAGCCGACCCACGTCGCCACTGACCTGAGAACGCGTTCAGGTGTCTGGCCACCCGAAACGAAAATTTGACGCACCTGAGGGAGAGCCTGAGCACACCATCTCCATGCACTGACAATCTTGGCCAGGAGCTGCCATCCCAGCTGTCCCACAGCGACAACAGCTTCAGAAAGCGACGACGCTTGGCCCCCAGAGGCCTGATGCACGCGGCACGGCACCACGCGTTCGGACACGGACCCCGGGAACCTACCCCAAATGCAGGGTGGAACCGCGCAGGAAAACCTGCGAGCCAACAGGGCCAGACGGGGCCAAATTTGGGCAGCCAAGGCTCCCTGACCTGTGAGAGAGCGCGTCTGGACGCGTGGAGGGCAGAGACTTGCGCGCGCGCCTGCTCGGACAGTCCGGTCGCGCGCTTGTTTTGATCCACGCCGAAAAACTGGGCCGCGCCTTGCCGAGCAAACGCCGACGCATGGGTGCAATGCTGTGTCGGGGGTCGGCTTAGGTGCCCGGTCCATATACTGCGCAAGCTCCCCCGGGACTTTAGCGTCCGCCAGCTTTCCTCTGCCCAGCCGTGGCTTCGAGGAAACGATCCCTTGGAAGGGGCGAAGGTCTGGGATTGGCATGCAAAAGTCAACTTGTACTAACGAGTGGCCCGGCCTCGCTATGGCCAGCTCCGCAACCTTGTTGACAACGGGTTCAAGCGCAAACTGCCTCAGCGCAGCTGGGGCAGCCGCAGAGTCAATCCTCCTCGCGGCCACGAGGCCCTGCGGCGGCGCCCAAATCTTGGAGGCCCGCGGGTCACCCGAGGAAGTGGCAGGCAACGTGGCCGCGCATTCTTTATGGGAACAGGAATCATTGAAATTCTCATTTTCTCCGGCCACGGGACCAGCATAATCCGATGGAATGCTGCCAACTGTAGCATTGGCATCTAAAAGCAAAAAAGCGCGCGGAGTAGCATCCAGCGTTTTTTGCATATAAAAAACTCTGGGAAACTTAACCCACCACTGTTCTATATAATTTTTGTGCTGTCTGAGTGTGGAGCGCGCCCAACCACAAGGGAAACAGACACGGGGCCCGCCGCCAGGTTGACAACTAAAATAATGGGCCCAACCACTGCAACCGTCACGGGGCGCCGTTTAACGGTGCTGTCAGCCAAGGGTGGAACAAGGGGGGCCCCCTTTCGGAGCCAACGAGAGCACCCGCGAGTCCCTTGGGAGGTGGCTGGCCCGCGCCAGACCAGGTAGTTCCCTGCGCCCGTCCATTCTTGACGGCGGACCCTTGACTCTGCCGTGCCCACAATCAAAACCTTGGCGGCTTCGAACTGAGCTGCAAGCGTGCGCGGCCATCCGGCTGCGCGCAGACCAACGGGCGCCTTCTTGCCATTGCCTAGCGCACGCAGACTCAGTATATTTGCAAACGCCATGCGAACAGAAAGCTTGGCACGCGTCACAAAATCTCTCGATGGGGGGGCAGGGGCGCCGCCGGGGGGAGACCTGGAGAAGGGTCGGCCATGCTGTGGGCCGAGGGGGGGTGGGCGAGGCGGGCAGACATCCCTTACGTTAGGCGCGTCCGAAACCAGAACGAAATCGCCCTAGCACACGGATGGGAAGCGCTGTCTGCCAGGGATGTCTAGCAATTCAACCTGGGCCCAGGACGCAGCCAACGGGTCAGCAAGCCAACCGGTCCAGGGGCACACGGGGGGGGGGGGGGCGCTACCTTAAATGCTGCTGACGCGCGCAGTGCATCTGCAATTTCGTTGAGGGGGTCTTCAAACATGGGACTTGACACGATGGAAGGCAGTGGGTGCACTTTGTTGGAGAGCGAGTGCCAGTGACCTCAGGCACTTCGTCAAGCCCGAAACTTCAGGCAACCCTCCTAACCCAGGAGCCGCTCGCGGTACCGAGATATTGTCATCGTGAAAGCTAACATCTCGGCGCTTACCCTGTAGCGCCCATGTTGTGGCCCACATCATGCCGACTGCCTCTGGCGCCATGCTGGAATGCACTTCGCAAACAGACAGAGCACCCAAGTCGAGCGCCCCTGCGAAGATGCCCCCAAAATGCCATGACCCGCAGGCGAACACAACGACACGACGACTGCCCCTGAGGGCGTGACCTCACCTGCTCCGCCCGAACCATCCGCGCAGATAAATGCTCGACGCGCACTTTGGTCCTCGGGGGGGATGGGGGGCAGGGACTGAAGAGAGGGGCGTGAGCAGGGAAGCAGACAACGCTCGATGTCCTGCCATCTCCGCGCAGGAGCCCACGACCAGGGTGCCTTAATCGTCTCCAGCAAAACTGAGCACGGCACCGGTTGAGACCTTATTGTGTTGAAAGGACCACCCTGGCGGCGATCTTCCAAATCGATCGGAATCGGGGTGGTCGGCTGGGCTACCCCGGCTGCTCGCCAGGCTCTGAGCCTTCTTCTCCAGCGGCCTCCCCGCCCTCTCCTCGCGCTCGCCTCGCAGGCGAACGTGAATTCTCCCGACCTCTGCTGGCCGCCGCTGTCGAGCCCCCTCCTGGGCTCCGCGGCGCTGCGATGACGGAAGCAGGCGGAGAGGCCGCCACGCTGGCGACAGCCGACGACGGCGCCGACGCAGCTGGCATTAGAAACTGCGGCAGTGGCACGACACCACCAGGGGGCACCTTGGACGCTGCCAGCAGAGCTTCGTGCTTCGCATTCAGAATATTGAGCTGCGAGCCGAGACTGTTCACATTGCTGTCATCCTCTGCTGGAGCGATACAAGATTCTGAGACAGAGACGAGATCAGCGCCTGAACGACCGACAGATCCACAATCTGAGTGGGCTGTATAACTGGCGTCGGGGCTGACTGATGTTGCGATGGCATTCTCCACGGGGGCTGTGGAGCAGAGACGGGATCACGATCTTCACCCATCTCTCGACCTTCGTCGGCGTCCATGGCCTCTGGTTCTCCGCGGGGCTCCCGAGCTGCAGGCTTCATGGGCTCTATCTCCGTCAGTGCCTGCTGATGCCTTGCAACCCATTGCTCCGAGATCTCTCTCTTCGCACGAAGATCGTCCAACTCTGCTTCTTTAGCACGAAGGGCCAACTCCTGCGAATCTCGCTTCGCCTGCGATCGCTGCAAAGCAGCCCGCTGGCGCTCTCTTTGCTGCTCCCATGGGCGGCAAAGGTGGATAGTTGTCAACAGTACTGCATACCATTCTCTCTCGTCCTCGCTGATGTCTCCTGCCTGATTTTTCATGCGAATCGTAGCTGCTAACACCTTCATCTCTGCTCTCCTGCGACTGATATACTGTTTCTTTTCTCCATTTGTCGCGTCCTCTCCAGGAAGCGGGGGAAAACGATGATGATAGACCGCATGCGCAGGGAGAGCGGGAAGGATGTTGAGTGGTTCTGGGCCGTTGACCGAGGACTCCTTCTCCTCCTCGCCGGCAAACGTAACCGACGGCGACCGTGTACGTGTATTCTGCCTCAACTGACGTGCACCCCTGGATCGTCGGCGCCCATCGCTCTGAGCATCCTGGGAGTCGGCTTGCGACTGCGACTGCTGACGAACCCACGCATCTCTCACCATGCCGTAGGCTGACGGCTGCTGCTGCTGCTGCTGCTGCTGCTGCTGCTGCTGTGCACGCTGTCCTTGGCCTCGCGACACCCTCTGTGGCGCCCTCTGCGGCGCTTGTCGTCTGCCACGGAGGAGCTGCGACGCTTGATCTGGCATGCACGAAGAACAAAACTGACACTCGAACGAGTTGACCGACCCACATATCTCACACAGCCAGTTGTCCTGCATCGACTGCTGGGCTGAGTGATGACTCAATAGTCGTGTCTGGGCTGCTGCGATCTTCACCAACAGTCTGTCGTCAGCGCGTCGCTGCCGAGCACGTCTGTGCCAGGCGCCCTCAGACACAGCACGCGGAATTGCGGCTGGCCGCACCAGTGGCGGCGGGCGCGCTAGGCTCGAATCAGTTGGAATCTGTCAGGAAGATCTCAAAGTTGCCAAAACCAAAACGCTCCGCCAGGAAAGGTCTCTGACGGTTCAAGCCTTAGAAGGAGGAGAGGAGGAGGAGAGGAAGGAGGAGGAAGAGGAGGATGAGGACGAGGAGGAGGAATAGAGCCCAAATCTCAGACGATGCCTTTTTCCACTTTCGCTATTTTCCTGCATTTCGGCCTCCAGGGCTCGCTTTGGGGCCCCCGCGCCATCGGAAACGGATCCGGCGTGAACAATTGCCCCAAGAGAAGGGTCGGGACCTCCCCGGTGCCGCGCACTGAAGAACAAGTATCGTCGGCTGTCTGGGAATCAGGAAGGGCTCTCGAGACTGGTCAGCACGACGAGACGGAAATGCCATCCTCCGCCAGCTGGAAGCGTGGTGATCGCCTGGCGACTGGCCAGACCGAATGCAGCTGCGTGCAGCGCAGGGCAAGGCCCTCTGTTCATATACTACGCGCCGCAAGATGCATGGACGCCGGGCCCCTGTGCGGGAGGAGGGGGGGAGGAAGAAGAGGAGGAGACGCGCGGCGCCGCGGAATCGGGTCGAGCATCCAACGACGCAGGAAGGTCGGGAGCAACACGGAAGGTGGGGGGGTCCGGGGACCTGACCGCTGGCGCACCAAATTTTAGAGCCGATCACGCCGTCAGACCGGGATCGACTGCGAAGTCGATCACCGTGCGGTACTGTCGCTCGGCCACGGGCTTGCTGTTCGCCGCGGCGCAGCGGAGGACGCCGCAGGCGCGTCCCGCTACAGCGCACGCCTGCTGGATCCGGGCCGTGGACCTGAGGGGGAACGCTGGGGTGGCTCCTCCTCCTCCTCCTCCTCCTCCTCCTCCTCCTCCTCCTCCTCTTCCTCTCCTCCTCCTCCTCCTCCTCCTCCTCCATCTCGTTTCCTTATAGTTCCTCCCTATCGCACCCCGAGACGTGTGGGTAGGGCGGGCTGGGCGTTGCGCCTGAGACTTCTTCATTTATGATCCTGAAGTTCAGACTTTGCGGCAGTTTCACGGATAAAGGGCGGGTGGTTTTTAGAATGTTGCTCTCGCCTGAGCGCCGCGCACATTCGTCTTAAAACTTACGAGAGTTCCACGGATGGAGGGCGTGCCGTTTTCAAAATGTGGTTCTCGTCTTAGCGCCGCGCGCATGTCTTACAAATGTACACCGGCTTCAAGAATCCTGGTGGCGGACGTCCCAGAAATAGCGTTTGGACGCGATTCCAAGTTATCAGGGCGCAACTGTCACGCTGATTCCCGATGTTGAAGTCCAAGGGATGGCGTTCCGGCGCGGTTTAGGATCGTCAGGACGCAACTGTAACTGAAATCATGGTGTTTTGGCACGGTTGTGATTTTCCAGACGGCTGTCCTCCAACGGGGCACTTCCTGCAGTGAGCATCAATCCTTGTAGGAAACTGTGAGGGAATTTGGATGGAGGGTTTATTGCAAGATCGTGGATGTATACTGGGTTTACACTGGTCCTCCTCCTCCTCCTCCTCCTCCTCCTCCTCCTCCCTCTCCCTTCGGCGGTGGACAAACCTCCCTCTAGTAAACCTCCCTTTAATGAAAACGGCCCAGGACCGAAACCGACGGACCTAGACCCGCAAAAATAACGGCCGCGACGCCCTCTCGCGAACCGATAACGGCCCATCCACTAATCGACGTGTCAGGGTAGGAGGTCTACCGACGCCGCGCTCTGCGGCCGGAGGGGAGGGCGGGTGAGAAGGCCTCGGGTCGCGCACAGGCTGCCCCCCTGGCAGTCCCGGCGGGCCTCTGCAGGCCACTCGAGCAGTCTCCGGGGCGCCGCCTCCGGGGCGCTCTGCGCCCCAGGGTTGAGCCGTGGAGACCCCTTCGGGCTACTCGGGGGGCCTGCCGAGGCCAGCCGGAACTGCTCCTGCGGAGGCCAGCCGGAGAACTGCTCATGCGGAGGCCAGCCGGGGCGCCCTGGGAGGGCCTGCCTGCGCGCAAGAGCCTTTTTTGGTGGTAGACTCCAACAAGTTTGCTTGCGTGCGCGGGGGGGGGGCTGAACCCGAAGCAAGCCACAAGCGACTTGCACGTTGGGGGGGGGGGGGGCTCCGCGCCTCGCAAGTGTTAGGGGGTCGTGCGGGGAATTGGCGATACCTGAGGCGATGGGCGTGCCACGTTAGGGGGGGATGAGCTCGTCGTGGGGTTTGAGGTTCGAGGTTTTCGGGGGTTGTCCTCGGCTCTCGGCGACTTTCCAGCCTCGGGGTGCCTTCCAGCGGCTGCGCCTCGCCGAGGGGCGCTCTGGGGATGCCCGGATCGTCCCGAACGGCCACCAAGAGGCCCGAGGTTTGACTCGAAAACCTCACGGGGACTGGCTCAGGGGAGGGGGCGGGTGGGCATCGAGCTGGAATCGGCGGTACGTCGCCGATAGATCGGCAATATGCCCCCGCAATCGAATCCGCACGTTCCTGGGCTGGGTGGGCTATCGGGCCCCCATCGGCGATGAGTGGGCGATTGAGGTCGATGCATCCCCCCCATGAGCCTATTCCCGACCTAACGTTGCCCCTTGGCTTGCAGGGCTAAGCTCGGCTCTCCGGCGGCCGTTCGGGACGATCTGGGCACCCCCGTGACGCTCTCGGCGAGGCGCAGCTGCTGGAAGGCATCCCGAGGCTGGAAAGCTGCCGAGAACCGGCGGCGCCCGAAAACCTCGAACCTTGAACCCGCTGCCCCTGCGACCTCTCGCAGGAGGGGAACTCCCAGTCTGCCACGAAGTCGTACCAGTGGCACACGCCCCCCGGCCTCAGCAGCGGCAGCAGCCCCGCCAGGAAGCCCTCGGCGAGGCGTGCGTCCTCCTCCTCGCAGGCGGCCTTGGGCCTTGGAGCCAGCACCCGGTGGAACGACCGCTGCTCCAGCCCGGCGGCGGCCGACGCGGCGTCGCCCTCGATTAGCCGCACGCGCCCCGCGCGCCCCGGGTCCTGCCTTGGAGGCGCAAGGAAAACAGACCTCTGACGGTATGATTTGTTCCATCCCTGCGCTCTTTCTCGATCTCGGCCCTCGGGGGGCACTGTCGGGTGCGAGGCTACCCCCCAGGGAAGCGGTTGGGACCCCTGGGCCCTATAGAAGAACCAAGCGTTGTATAAACATACGGTCAGGAGCTTTTGCTTACTGTGTCGCGGCGATGGCCCTGGCGACACGCTATGCCTTGCAAGCACGTAGGGTGTCGCTCCGCTACGCGGGGCTGGAGGTTGGGAACCGCTCGGGACGTTGACGCCTGGGGACCGCGCCGTGGATAGCGGCACGGGGGAAACGGATCCTGAGGGAAACGGGTCCCCTCCATCGATGTCGTTTATTGAACATACTGGGGGCTTGGGACCAGTCCACAACAGAAGAAACGACAATACAATCATCCATGGGGTACATACATGCTGGTGCGGATTTAATCGAATTTTCAGTGTCAGGAGTGAGACTTGAGTGGGGAGGCTTACGAGGTCTTGACCCCGAGCCGTTTTCTGAAAGTCCGAGGGCCCGTGGGGGACCCAGGGGAGCCAAAAGCGCTCGGGACGCTCGGGACTTGGGACGTGGTTGGCGTGCCGCGCCGAAGCGTGGTGGGGCCAGAGGCGGCGCGGAGCGCCAAGCATCCACGGCTGACCGTACACTCTTGGAGGTCCGCGCGGACTTCTCGGATCGGCGCTCGGGCCCCCCTCCCCCTCCTCCTCGCCCTCCTCCTCCGCCACCTCCTGCGCCTCCTCCTCCTCCTCCTTCTGCTCCTCATGCTCCTGCTCCTGCTCCTGCTCCTGCTCCTGCTCCTCCTCCTCCTCCTCCACCTCATCCTCCTCCACCTCCTCCTCCTCCTTCTCCTCCTCCTCCTCCTCCTTTTCCTCCTCCTTCTCCTCCTCGTCCTCCTCCTCGTCCTCCTCCTCCTCCTCCTACTCCTCCCCCTCCCGCCCCCGCCCGCCCCATGTCACGTGCTTGTGGCAGGGTCATGAGCTCGTCGTTATCGTGGTCGTCGTCGTTGTCGTTCTTCTGGGTCGGCGGCGCCGGTTTGAGGCATTCACAAGCAAAACCTCCACAGCGCGCAGCGCACCGGGGAGGCGGCTCTGGAGGCGCCGCGAAAAAAAAGACCCAGGCTCCGATGCGAGAAATCCGCGCTGAGCTCTGAACCATACAACTTGTGTGGTTGCTTCTCCTCCGGTGCCTGGCGAGCAGCTCCAGCCCACGACGGGCGCACTTCACGGCCTCGGGGTTGAGCTCTACCGCGGTCACGCTGGCGGCCTCTGGGGGGACACTCCACGGACCTCTCCTGGGGCGCGTTCTTGCCGAGACTTCGAGGAAAACCCAGCCGTGCCATTAAGGGCCCTCCAGGGCGAGCAGCGGTATCGGTATCTTTTCCTGAGAGCCGACGTCGCGACAAAATTGCGGCATCGTCACCAATCACTACCTGATCCTCGGACCCCATCTTCCAGCGGCGTCGGTGCAGCAGTCGTGCCACCACAACGAGCGGGGGGGGCTGTTCCCGCGACGGCGAGCCTCGGCCACGACCAGGTTCCCCGACCCAGACCAGAGCCCCCGCCCCGAGCCCCACTCACACTCGCACTCAAGCCATACACCGTCTGGCGCGTGGGCGGGAACACAAGCTCAGCACAGCCTGCACTGGAAGGACGATGAGGAGGAGGAGGAAGAGGAGGAGGAGGAGGAGGACGAGGAGGAGATGGAGGAGGAAACAAGGCGAGGGAAGAGAGCAACAGCAACAGCAGGGGGGAAGACGAAAACAAGAAAAACGATAACTAATCAATGAACGCATGAATCAATCACTCAATGTGCGTGCCTGCCCAAGCCCCAAGTGCTCCTCATTTCAGCGTCTTGGCTGTTCCTGTTCCTCCCCTGGGCCTCCGTCTTGGCGGCGAGCTGCAGGGCCTCCGGGCCGCAGCCCGCGAACAGCACGAGCACGCGCTCGCCAGGCACCACCTGGCCGCATATCCGCTGCCGCTCCGGGCCCATGCGCGGGCTAAAGAACACCGCCTCGAGACTGCTGTTTTACCCTGAGGTACGTAACAGTCGTCACCAAGGCCATCATCATCATCATCATCATCATCATCATCATCATCATCATCATCATCATCATCATCATCATCATCATCATCATCATCATCATCATCATCATCATCATCATTGCCATCATCACCATTACCAGCATCAGGATTAGCATCATCATCAGCATCAGCATTAGCATCATCATCATCGTCATCGTCATCGTCATCTTCATCATCATCGTCATCGTCATCGTCATCATCACCATCACGACCACCATCACCATCGCCATCGTCATTGCCATCAGCATCACCATCACCATCACACGCACCATCATCATCATCATCATCATCATCATCATCATCATCATCATCGTCATCCTCAGCATCATCAGTATCAACATGAGCTTCATCATCAATATCATCATCACCATCCTACGTTACCGTCATAAAGCATCACCATCACCATCATCACCATCATACCCAAGCACATACACATCATCATGACCATCCTCTTCCTCATCCGCATCTTCATCTTCATCGCCATCAGCATCACCATCATCATCAACATCGCAATCGCCACCATCATCATCATCATCATCATCATCATCATCATGAACAATGTCATGCTCCTCATCATCATACCATCATCGTCATCCTCTTGATGATGATGATGAGCATCATCATCACCATCGCCATCACCACGAGCAGCATCATCATCATCACCAGCATCATCACCATCACCATCACTATCACCATCAGCATCACTATTACCATCATCATCATCATCACCACCATCATCATCAGCATTATCACCATCAACACCACCACCATCATCATCACCATCTTCATCATCAGCACCATGATCAGCATCCTCATCCTCATCCTCATGATCACCATCATCATCATCATCATCATCGTCATCATCATCATCATCATCATCATTATCATCATCATCATTATCATCATCATCATCACAATCCCCACCGCCATCATCATCATCATCAGCAGCATCATCACCGCCACCACCATCATAATCATCATCATCGGCATTATCATCACCATCATCATCACATCATCATCACATCATCATCATCGTCATCATCATGCTCATCATCACCATCATTATCATGTTTCCCTGTGGCTTATGTCGGTCTTTACCCGCCCCGCCCCCACACACACCAGGTAACAGTACTGATCGTACGTCGGGGGGGAGCCTGGACTGGACCCCCCCTCCCATATGCTGGTACTCGCTCGCATGTACAGCGATCGCAACGCGCCCCCGCCCCGACGTGCCCCACCCCGGCCACGCGTTACCACTATCCTGGGCCCCAAGCCCCCCCCCCGGGTAACGACCGTTATACCGGAAGTGAACAAACAATCTCCTCCAGGTCGACGACGTAGCGCACGCCGAACTCCGCGTGGGTGGTCATCAGCGGCCTCCTCTCGGGGCCCGCGAGGATCGACGAAGGGAAAACGGCACAAACATAAACTTTCGGAGCTACGCTTGGACTTCTCGGATCGGCGCTGGAGGCGCCGCCACGGGGGCCCAGCGCAGATCCAAGAAATCCGCGCAGACCTCCCCTGAGGTCCAATGTCGCGGGGGAGAACGAAACATCAAACATCACGACTGGATTCCAGGACCTAATCTTTCTGCTGCATTCTGCGAGCCAGATCGATCCGTGATAGTGCCAGGTCCTGGAACAGGGCGAACACGCCCACTTTGGAAAAATTGCAACGCCATGATCTCAGGGTCCGAAAACGTATGTCTGTGCCAGTTCGTCCCTCCTTCGAGATGACGAGGAGAGGCCCTGGCTTGCGGTGATCCTGGGGGAACCAAAAGGTACCAATACCGCTACTCCATGAATGAACCTCTCCCGGGGTGCGTTCTGACCAAAACCTCGAGGAGCATCCAGCCGTGGCAACCAGGGCCCTCCAGGACGAGCAGCAGTGTCGAGAAGAAGAGAAAACGGCACAAACAGAAACTGTTGGCGGTCCGCGCGGACTTCTTGGCTCCGCGCTGGGCCCCCCTCCCTGGCGCGCGGAGCGCGCCAGGTGTTGGCGCCGGAGGCGCCGCCCGGGGGTCCCCGCGCGGATCCGAGAAATCCTCGCGGAGCGCCAAAAGTTTATGTTTATGCCGTTTTTCCTTCTTCGAGTACCGGTACCTGTTCCTTCCCTGAGGTCCGACTGCAGCGCCCCCTGCCGCAGGGCCACGACCTTCACTCTCGCGTTCTCCTTCAGCACTGCGCGGCCCACCGCGCCCGCCTCGGAGCCCTCCGGCAGCGCCGACAGCACCGCCACGTCCCCGACCACGTCGAAGTGCCTCGGCGCTGCCCTCGCGGGCCTCGGCTGGCAGTCGTCGCCGACCTCGAGGGAGGAACAAGCTCCTCCTCCTCCTCCTCCTCCTCCTCCTCCTCCTCCTCCTCCTCCCCCGCCTCCTCCTCCTCCTCCTCCTCCTCCTCCTCCTCCTCCTCCTCCTCCTCGTCCGCCCCTTCCCTCCAGTCAGCGGGTGAAGTGGTTGCGGCTCCAGCCGCTCGGCTTCCCGCTGCTGCCTGGCCCGCCCCCTCTGCATCCCACCCTGGGCTCGCCGCCGACACCAGTGTCCGTCTGTGCCGTTTTGTTTTGTTCCTCGCCGACCAGCCCCTCCTCGGCCGCCCCGGCGCCCTGCTCGCTGCCGGAGCAATCGCTGCCTGGCCCGCTGGCGGCGCCGATGGCCGCGGGCGTTTGCGCCGCCTCCCTCAGCGCTGCCGTGAACCTGTCGATCTTGGCCCAGTTCCTACGCAGACGGCGTCTACGGTCGGGAGCTTTTGCGCAGCGCGTCGCCGCGGCTGTCACGGCGACACGCTGTGCCCTGCGAGCGGAGAGCGTGTCGCTCTGCTCCGCGGGGCGGGAGGCTGGTAAAGGCTCGGAACGTTGACGCCGGGGGGCCGCGACGTGGATAGCCTGTCGGACTGAAGCGTGGTGGGGCAGAACAAGTGGAGCGACACGTTGAGCCAAAGTTCCTGACCGTATGAGGAGGAGGAGGAAAGGGAGGAGGAGGAGGAGGAGGAGGAGGAGGAGGAGGAGGAGGAGGAGGAGGATGAGGCGGAGGAGGAGGAGGAGGAGGAGGAGGACCAGTGTACACCCAAGAGTCATCAACGACAGGGCCATCCTGGGCCATACGCCGCTGGGCGAGGCCAGGAGGGCCCATAACGAGGACTCCCGACGTCATGTGTTTCTCACAGCGTACTGGCTTTTCACCCTGAGTCGTTGTTTCTTCTCCTCCTCCTCCTCCTTCTCCTCCTCCTCCTCCTCCTCCTCCTCCTCCTTCCTCACGCGTGCTGGCTTCTCACGGGGTCCTGGGCTCGGCCGTGGCCCCAAGAGGCCGAACATCATAAGAGTCGCCCGTGGTGTTTTTCACGACGCCAGGGGGTCTGGGTACACCATCGTGGGGCCAAGGTTTTTCCTGGCAAGGCATGGTGGTGCAGGACTCGTTTAGTTGTTCGTTCTGCCTCGATTTGCTTTCGCTTCACCTTGAATGCCCACGAGATGGCCCAAACACCGTTTAGGTCCAGCCCTGCGGTGGTGGTGTATAAATGCCGTCTGCGGAGTTCCTCCTGTGGCGGCTGTTCACGAGCTCCTGCAGCCACCCCGCCTGTCCCACGAACAGGGGCCGGCCAGAGCCGTCGGTGAGGGCCATGTCCAGCCCCTCGTCGCCCCAGATCGCGAGCATCACCTGGGACGCACAGGGACATACTAGTACTATGTGTCCTCCTTGGAGGCCCGCGTCCGATCCGAACATATAGTATACCCATCTTGTAGTATATCGATTCCCGAGCGGTGTGGCCAGAAAGCGCCCGCCACGACGCATATACTATAAGATTTCTCGGTGCGCGCGTCGCCCCCGGGGGGGCGACGCACCCATAGTACTAGTATGTTGGGGTGACGCCGAGATCACCTTCCCCTCGGACCAGCTCTGCACCCCGACGTTCTTGAACGCCTGGCGCGCCGCGGCGATGACGGCCGCGGCCGCCGCAAAGTCCCGGCAGCACACATGGAGGATGAAGGGCTCGAAGCGCAGCCAGACCTGGAGAAGAAGAAAACGGGGACCACGACCGAACAACTGAACGCGGAAACGTTGTGCCGACCTTGGTCACCGTCCATCTTGGTCAGCGTTAGTCCGTGGACCATCCTCGCGAGTTGGCGATGATCGGCATGGGCCATGCATGACCAAGATCGGCGTCGACAAGGTCCCGCGACATCCTGGGCATAATCAGTGCGTTCCTTCCCTCGACGACCGAGGGGTCGCCCTCGGGGCGGGGCCCGGCGGCCCCGGCCGCGGCGGCGCCACTGCCGCACCGGCCCCGGCACAGTCCCTCCGAGCACGCGGCCAGGGCCGCCAGGCAGCTGGGCGCGGGCCGCCGCGCCTGCTGTGGCGCCTTCACGCGCGTGCGGAGGACCTGCTCCTCCCAGGCCCCATCGACGACCTCGGCCCCCAAGCCCGCCAGCTCGAAGTAGGGCTCCGCCTCGGGGATCAGCTCGTGCGTGACCCTGTACCTCAGGAAGTTGCTGGTGCTCTTGACCCCCTGGCCCCTCCAGAGGAAGGCCCGGCCCGAGCACGACGACGTGGTGAAGGCGTCCTCGCGCTCGTTGATGGCCGCGCAGACCTCCCTTGCGTGCGCGTCGATTCCGCCCGCGCTGGACTTGTCGTCCTTGGACAGAAACGTCTGCTTACGGCTGAGGAATCCTTGGCTCCGCTGCTGGTTCCTTGGCTTGGCATTGGCCATCCTCTACGAGCGCGCGGGCTCGCATGCCAGACCAGGTGGAGGCCGCACCGTGGGCCCGGCGGCTTTATAGAGTTACCCTGGGCCAGAGCGGCCACGGAGGGCGGACGAGGTGAAGGAGAAGGTCAGGAGGAGACGCGCAGCACTGCGGAGTCAGAACGAGGGCCAGGACGAAGCCAGGACGAAGACAACACCTGGCAAGGATACATCGAAGATCTGGAGGATGTCTCGGGCGCCACGGCCTTCTCAGAGCGTTCCGGAACGCTCTGGAACGATTTGATCCTCGTCGTAGCGCCGTCCGAAGGGCCCGACAACGCAGGAGGGGCGAGAGTGCCGATCGAAAGGGCATCCTCGAGCAGAGTCCTGTGCCGTGGAGGCGCGAGGCCCCCCCGTGATGTACCCACAGCCAGGATAAGGTGGGAGCAGTCGTGAAGAGGAGAGGGCGCTCCTCCTCGTTCTCTTCCTCCACCTCCTCCTCCTCCTCTCGTCCTCCTCCTCCTCCTCCTCGTCCTCCTCCTCCCTCCTCCTCCTCCTCCTCATCCTCCTCCTCCTCCTCCCTCCTCCCCTCCTCCTCCTCCTCCTCCTCCTCCTCCTCCTCTCTCCTCCTCCTCCTCCTCCTCCTCCCCCTCCTCCTCCTCCTCCTCCTCCTCCTCCTCCTCCTCCTCTGTCTCCCTCGTCCTCCTCGTCCCTCCTCGTCCTCCTCCGTCCTCCCTACTCCTCCTCCTCCTCCTCCTCCTCTCCTCCCTCCTCCTCCTCCTCCTCCTCCTCCTCCTCCTCCTCCTCCTCCTCCTCTCCTCCTCCTCCTCCTCTCCTCCTCCCTCCTCCTCCTCCTCCTCCGCTCCTCCTCCTCCTCCCGCTCCCTCCTCCTCCTCCTCCTTCTCCTCCTCCTCCTCCTCCTCCTCCCTCCTCCTCTCCTCCTCCTCCTCTTTCTCTTTCTCCTCCTCTTTCTCTTTCTCCTCCTCCTCCTCCTCCTCCTCCTCCTCCTCCTCCTCCTCCTCCTCCTCCTCCTCCCCATTCCGCGCGGCATTGACGGGAACAAGGGGAGGAGGCGGGGAGGGCATTGGGGAGGAGAGGCGACGGGGAGGGTAGGGGGAGGCAGGGGAGGAGGAGGGGAGGGAGAAGCAGGGAAAGACATGTGGGCAGGGCGGGAGGGGCGGGGGCGGCCGATGGCCGCAGCTCGGCGAGGGTCTCAGAACAGCGCCTTCACTTCTCGCCGATGTCAATCGGTGATGTCTCAGTTGGGTCCAAGGGGGCCATGGGCTATACAGGCGCAACCGCGAGAACGCACCACTCATTGTAGAGGTCTCCCAGATGGGGTCCGAGAAGACGGGGTCGTAGGATCGCGCCGCATCGGCGATGCATCGACGATTTAGCGGCGATGCGTCGGCGATGCATCGGCGCCATCGTCGTGGACAAAAATCGTGGTCCACATCGAGCCACATCGGCGATGCATCGGCAGGGCGGCGCGATCCTCCGACCCTATCTGCTTGGACTCCATCTGGGAGGCCTGGGCACTGAGCAGCTCTTGTCCCCTCAAGCGTCGCATGTCGAGAGAGCTTCCCCGATTGCCTTCTGACTGCAAGTCGGGAGCGGAACGCGCAGCACGAGACTGGTGCTCCACCCTCGCTCGGCAAGCCGCGCCGGAGGGCGGCGACAACAAGCGGGACGCTGGAAAGGAGCCCCCTCCGACGCGCCGTCGAGTGTTGTGTGTATGTCTGCATGTCTGTATGTCTGCATTTCTGCATGTCTGCATGTATGTATGTATGCATATCTGTCTGTATGTATGTATATATGTCTGTCTGTATGTCTGTACGTATGTATGTATGTATGCATGTAGGTATGTATGTATGTTTGCATGCATGTATGTGTATGTATATCTGTATGCATACCTGTATGTATGCATGTACGTATGTATGCATGTATGATTATATATATATATATATATATATATATATGTATGCACGTGTGTACATGTATGCGTTTATCTATGTATATATGTATATATGTATATACATGTATGTATGTGTGTATATGTATGTATGTATGTATGTATGGTTGTAAGTCGATATGCGTGCATGTATGTGTGTATGTATGTATGCATGCATGCATGCATGTCTGTCTGTCTGCCTGCCTGCCTGCCTGTCTGTCTGTCTGTCTGTCTGTATGTATGTATGTATGTATGTATGTGTGTATGCATGTATGTATGTATGTATATACGTACGTATGTATGTATGTATGTCGGTATGTATGTATGCCTAGGTGTAGATATATGTATGAATGTGCATAGTATGTCTGCCTGTCTGTATGTACGTACGTATACATGTATGTGTGTGTTTATTTGTATGTGTGTGTGTATGTACGTACGTAGGATGAAGGGCCGAGTTCATGTTCATGTTCATGCTCATGCTCATGTTGGCGGCACGCCGACTTTTGGCGTCAACCTCTGGGCCTCCTCCTCCTCCTCCTCCCTCCTCCTCCTCCCTTTTCCTCCTCCTCCTCCTCTTTCCTCCTCCTCCTCCTCTTTCCTCCTCCTCCTCCTCTTTCCTCCTCCTCCTCCTCCTCTTTCCTCCTCCTCCTCCTCCTCCTCTTCCTCCTCCTCCTCCCAGGCAGTCGCACAGTGACAAGGGAGACCGACGAGGGACCGAGACCGAAATGCAGCGAGGGCCAGAGCAGACACGAGCGGTTGTCCACGCCCGGAGGTCTCGACCCATTCCCCGGGACCGGCTTGCCGTCCTGAGTCGTTTTCGGACGGCCCCAGGGCCCGGCGACGGGCCCCCGGAGGCCGAACATGGTGCACAACCGCACGTCGTGATTTTATCGTTTCGCGACGCGCGGGGGTCGTTTGTTTCTCCGATGCGCGTTTTCCGCTCGGCAGATCCACACGGACATTGGCTCTCGCGCGGCCCCGGATGTACATAGGACAGGGCGCCGCGCTGTGCGCGGGGGAGGGCCTAAGGCTGGCCCTTGGCCAGCGGGTCTGGCGTCGACAAGGGCCCCGGCGACTCCGAGGGGTGCGGTTTGCACAGGGTGCGGTTTGCAACGCGCGCGCTGCGGCTACACGTAAGAGTGTCCCCAGGCAAGAGTGATCCTTGGTGCGCGGTTTCGGGGGGGCGCGAGGGGGCCAAACTCCAGCGTGTAAGCCGCTTGAGGCCAGTGCTGGGGGCACCCCTGTGGGCCCGCACCAAAAGTCCCTCCGGCGAAAGGTTACTCTTACGTGTAGCCGAACCCTGGGGGGCGGGCGAGGACCTCGACAGAATTCTCCGCCGCGCCCCGAGGAGGCCTGACGAGGGCCACGCGGTGCCCCCCAATCCCCAACGACGCAGATCGCACACCGCACCCCAGCGTAACCACACCCTTTGTAGCTGCCGAACGGAGGGGGGGCGGAGGGCAGCGGAGGGCAGCGGAGGGGGCGGCGGGCCGGGGGGGGGGAGTGCTGGAGGGGGAACCTCGATATCCCGGCGTTGCAAATTGTTCGCGCCAGGCGGTTTCCCCCTCTATTTCGGGCCCCAAAGCCTGCACTGGCCGCTTCGGCTCGGGAAACGCCGCAGAAAGATGGGCTCCAGGGCTCTCGTCGCGATTTGTCTCACGATGTTGCATGTGTTCGCAACATCGGATCTCAGAGAGGGCGGTGGGGAGGGAGGAGGGAGGAGGGAAGAGGCAGGCAGGGAGGACGGGGGAGGCAGAGAGGGAGGAGGTAAACTAAAACAGCAGGGAGGGAGGGAGGGAGGGGGCCTAGGGGGGGGGGGGTAAAGAGGAGGGATGTGAAGCAGGAGGGCGGATGGGGGGCAGAGGGGGAGACGAGGGGGCGGGGGGGGTGATAGGGGGAGGGAACGAGGGAGGGAGGGAGGGAGGGATGGGACGGGGGATGCTGGCTGGCTGGGGTGGCCCATGGGGCGGTGTTCGCATCCTCAGGCACGGATTTTTGATTTTTTCAGTCAGGGAGGGAGGGAGGGAGGGAGCGGGGGGGGGCGGAGGAGGGAGGGGGGGAAAGAGGAGAAAGATGAGGGAGGGAGGGAAAGATGGCCTCGCAACATTGCTAGAGAGCAGCTGGCGAACGGTGGGAAGGCAATCCTCGTTCTCGCCACGGCCCTCCGCCGTTGTGGCGCGTGCTCGTAAATTCGCGCGGGGGGCGGCGCTGGTCCCACCCATCATTTCCCAATCCCACTGCCCAATCCCACTGCCCCCCTCGTGTGTATTCCCAGTCTCCTGCCGCTCCTGCACCTTTTGCAGCTCTTCCTCCTCCCCCTCCTCATGTTCCCCTTCGTTCTCCTTCTCATTCTCGTTCCCCTCGTCAGCCCCTATATGTTGCACTGTTTTCCGACGCTCCACCCTGACGGTTCCAAAGCGCAGTCACTGTTCGTGCAAACACCGAGCGAAGCGAATCCGAGCCCTCCTCCGCCCGAGAGGCTCCCCTGCTGGAGAGCACTCACTGGGCGTCGAATGACAAGCCTCGCTGTCGCCTTGGCAGCATAAATCGAGCTGAACGCATCCTTTCGCATGTGTGTGTGTGGTTGCTGTGCCTCTGTGGCCTCTGAGGGCTCGGGCGGGCTCAGTCGCGCGCGCGGTTGCTGCTTTTCGACCTTCTACGCCCTGTCGCTGCGCGCAGGGCTGCGACGCCAAAATGGTGTGTGTGTGTGTGTGTGTGTGTGTGTGTGTGTGTGTGTGTGTGTGTGTGTGTGTGTGTGTGTGTGTGT